TTGGTATGACAACTAGTTCTTCATTTGGCATTTTGATCAGTTTTGCACCATAGCTCAATGTTTATATTTCCCTACTGGCCAGAATATAGAGTGGGTAATGCCCAATGACCTCTTCTCTCTGTGTTATTTTTGGTCTGTGAAGACAACGGGTGTTTCTGGCATGCATATTCAGTACAGATTCTGCAGAGATTGTCATTGTGTCCTATTGGTTCCCGAGATGTTAACATGTTTCTAGCCTGGCATTGTAAAGATATGATACTCTGCACAGAAGCTGTGTCTGTGACAGAATCACACTCAGCGGGAGGTGAGAGCCAAATGGAGATCACCTCACCTGGCCTTCTCAGAGCACTGGTGAAAGTGCTCCTGGAAAGAAGACCATTTATAAGTATTGGAACATATCCATTAGGACATCTCTTTAGCCCTTTCGGAAACATCACTAGATAAACGAGGAGAAGAGGTCAAAGGTGAATTGCACTGCTCCTTAAGGCCATTGCGGAAAGACATTTCAACCCAGTTCAGAAAATGCAGTAGCACCCTTCCTTGAGGTAATCACTAATCTTATGCATTCCTCTACATAGCTTTCACCAAGTAATATATCAAGCAATTACAGTACATCAATGAGGAAAGGATTTCAGTTGGCCTTATTAAAACTGACTCCATTGGGGATCCATTGAGCTGAAATGTAGTATACTTTAAATGCCAGGATTTCATACTAATTTCTTATTTTCATCTATTTCATCTAGTAGAATTTGCTGCACACTATTGAGACAGAGAATCATCTTTCAATTTCCATGTGTCTTACAGAAGCTGATAATATAAGGAGACACACTTTACCAAAATTAATGAATGGCGGGAAATAACGCAATTGCACATTAGATGACACATTCTCAGTAGGATGAGCCTAGTATGCTGATATTTGTTTTAACAAAACAGTACATTCTTAATACACTGCTCAAAAAAATAAAGGGAACACTAAAATAACACATCCTAGATCTGAATGAATTAAATAATCTTATTAAATACTTTTTTCCTTTACATAGTTGAATGTGCTGACAACAAAATCACACAGAAATTATCAATGGAAATCAAATTTATCAACTCATGGAGGTCTGGATTTGGAGTCACCCTCAAAATTAAAGTGGAAAACCACACTACAGGCTGATCCAACTTTGATGTAATGTCCTTAAAACAAGTCAAAATGAGGCTCAGTAGTGTGTGTGGCCTCCACGTGCCTGTATGACCTCCCTACAACGCCTGGGCATGCTCCTGATGAGGTGGCGGATGGTCTCCTGAGGGATCTCCTCCCAGACCTGTACTAAAGCATCCGCCAACTCCTGGACAGTCTGTGATGCAACGTGGCGTTGGTGGGTGGAGCGAGACATGATGTCCCAGATGTGCTCAATTGGATTCAGGTCTGAGGAACGGGCGGGCCAGTCCATAGCATCAATGCCTTCCTCTTGCAGGAACTGCTGACACACTCCAGCCACATGAGGTCTAGCATTGTCTTGCATTAGGAGGAACCCGGGGCCAACCGCACCAGCATATGGTCTCACAATGGGTCTGAGGATCTCATCTCGGTACCTAATGGCAGTCAGGCTACCTCTGGCGAGCACATGGAGGGCTGTGCGGCCCCCCAAAGAAATGCCACCCCACACCATGACTGACCCACCGCCAAACCGGTCATGCTGGAGGATGTTGCAGGCAGCAGGACGTTCTCCACGGCGTCTCCAGACTCTGTCACGTGCTCAGTGTGAACCTGCTTTCATCTGTGAAGAGCACAGGGCGCCAGTGGCGAATTTGCCAATCTTGGTGTTTTCTGGCAAATGCCAAACGTCCTGCACGGTGTTGGGCTGTAAGCACAACCCCCACCTGTGGACGTCGGGCCCTCATACCACCCTCATGGAGTCTGTTTCTGACCGTTTGAGCAGACACATGCACATTTGTGGCCTGCTGGAGGTCATTTTGCAGGGCTCTGGCAGTGCTCCTCCTGCTCCTCCTTGCACAAAGGTGGAGGTAGCAGTCCTGCTGCTGGGTTGTTGCCCTCCTACGGCCTCCTCCACATCTCCTGATGTACTGGCCTATCTCCTGGTAGCGCCTCCATGCTCTGGACACTACGCTGACAGACACAGCAAACCTTCTTGCCACAGCTCGCATTGATGTGCCATCCTGGATGAGCTGCACTACCTGAGCCACTTGTGTGGGTTGTAGACTCCGTCTCATGCTACCACTAGAGTGAAAGCACCGCCAGCATTCAAAAGTGACCAAAACATCAGCCAGGAAGCATAGGAACTGAGAAGTGGTCTGTGGTCACCACCTGCAAAACCAGTCCTATATTGGGGGTGTCTTGCTAATTGCCTATAATTTCTACCTGTTGTCTATTCCATTTGCACAACAGCATGTGACATTTATTGTCAATCAGTGTTGCTTCCTAAGTGGACAGTTTGATTTCACAGAAGTGTGATTGACTTGGAGTTACATTGTGTTGTTTAAGTGTTCCCTTTATTTTTTTGAGCAGTGTAGTATGTGGTACGATTAGTACACAGTATGCAGTTTAAGTAAGTATTAGACAAGCCAGACCTCAGACACAGCCAATGTCTTATAGCCAACTTCTCTGACTATCGTTATACGTACGGCATGACAATGATATTCATTGGACATCACTAAAGCAGAGAGCTGAGACCAGGCTAAGTGCCTAAGGCTAGAGAATGATTTGGAGTAGTGCATAGACGCTGACAAAATCACCCTTCTCTTGCTAGAGGTGTTGTTGAAAGAAAAATATAAAAGGCAGCAGTGGCCAGCTGCGTTCATCAGTCAGAAACAAAACACTTCCCTTTTCATCCTGTGTTGTGTATTTTTCTAACCCATAACCTTATCCACAAGTCTCTTTATTAACCTGTTAACGTACAGTCCTGTGTTCTTTGAAAAGACTGTGACTTCATCACTCACCAAATAGAGATTTCAGCAAGGCCAGAACGTTTAACTTTGTGTAAGTGTGAAGTGTCATGACGTTTGCCCACGGGTAGGCCTATGTTTAGCAGAGTTTAAATCACCCCTGCTCTATATGACCTGCAGCTTCCGCTTGCCCATATTAAGTAAATGGACTGAACTGTGGGTCAGGTAATACGGTGGGGTAAAAAATTGACACCCTTTATGAAGATTTGCAAAAATGACTGTATAAAATAATTAAAATACTGAGCTATATTGTATGCTAAAAAAAAATTGTTTAGAGAAATAAAATACAAATCTCAAAATGTTTTATGAGTTGGAGAACACATTGGGAGGGATCTTAGACCATTCCTCCATACAGAATCCGTCCAGATCCTTCGTCTGTGCTTATGGACTGCCCTCTTCAATTCAAACCATACGTTTTCAATGGGATTCAAGTCCAGAGACAGATGGCCATTGCAAAATGTTGATTTTGTCAATTAACCATTCCTTTGTGGAGTTTGATGTGTGCTTGGGGTTATAGTGTTGCTGGAAGATCCACTTGCAGTCAAGATTCTGCTTCCTGGCTGAGGCAACTAGGTTTTGGGCTAAAATGTCCTGGTAAAGTTCATAATGCTGTTGACCTTAACAAGGGCCCCAGGACCAGTGGAAGCAAAATAGCCCCATAACATCAAAGATCCACCACCATATTTTACAGTAGGTATGGGGTTCTTTTCTGCTTTTGCATTCTCATTTCAACGCCAAACCCACCACTGGTGTGCGAGGACAAAGAGCTTTATTCTAATGTAATCTGACCAAAGCACCAGTTACAATCCAAGTGCCAATGTCGTTTAGCAAACTCAAAGTTTACAAAGTTTACACATTTGTTAATTGACATGAAAATAGGTATGCACATTTTTTTCAGCATACAATATAGCTCAGTATTTTATACAGTATTTTTTTGGCTTATCTTTATCAAGGGTGTCAATAATTTCAGACCCCACTGGACATGCTGTAAATGGGAGTAGGAACAAGTTGTCAACAAACACTAACCTAAGGTCAGTTGGGAGATTTACCATCTGGGTAAACTGGTCATAGAAAGGAAACTTCTACCTGTAATGTCTAAATGCCAGCGTAGCAAAGAGTGAAGTTCTTAAATAGTTCCGGGACTGTCACTGGCTTCAGACTTAATTTCTTAGGGTCCTCCAGTTCATTGGCTTATTCAAAACAACAGCCACCTCCTAGAAACTGGGAGACAATCAGCGTGGTAGCAATGAGATTGAGGATTTAGGTGTGTTGTGAATATGTAAGTGATATGATAGAGGAACAGACAGAGAAACTGATATGAGAAAACAGGTTATCTACCAGTCAATGAAACATCTCCAATTTCCACAGCAGCATGTAAACCTCAGCCATACACTTTAAATATTTAAGGGTAAATTTACAAGGCATTGTTCTTTAAATAGTGGTCAGTTGTCATAATAGTCTGTCTCAAAATATCCCTTTAAAGCATCAACCCCCCACCCCACCCCACCCCACCAAATGTTCACTCCAGCCTCTTTCACCACCCAACTAACAGTTTCACATTGATCTACATAATGAACCATTGAAAATATATACTATTGAATTCCAGTGTAAGTTCAGTGTTCTTGTTTTTTCTCAGTGAACACAATCCAGTTCCAGAAGTCTTCTCTACGACACACATCTAACGGAGTCTCCTCGGCTGAGAAGTTACGTCAGCGTTTGTGTTTTGTTTGGACGGCTTTTTCCCGTTTCGTTTGAAGGAGGAATAGATTTAAGGGATTGGGAAGCGCTACGACGTCACATGACTAAGCTAGAGCGGGTGGAGAGGTAAGGAAGAAGAGGAACCAGTTAAAAAAGCATGATCTTTTACAAGGCAGAGAGAGATAGGACTCCCTATGATCATGTGTACTGTATGCATTCCAGACCCATACATCTGATAGAGATCGAAATGCGGGAGGGGAGGGAAGAAAGAGCAGGGGAGAGTGCAAGGGAAGGGTGAGGGGAAAGCGAGAGAGCATCAAGGAGAGATAGTTCACTCCGTTGTTCCTGGCTCATCGGTACACCAGGTGTGATATGGTTCCAGACTTAAAGTTGAGCTGATGGTTGGGGACAAAGCTGTGCTGGGGGTTTTTACGTGTGCACAAGTCTTTAGCGTACAGGCTCATGCACGAGTCACACGACACCTTGGAACAGTTCACACAGGTGTGAGACGCGCCCGGTTTGTTACAGAATCCGCACCGTGACCCCCCCAGACTCGCTCGGTCAGTATTGGCTACGATGGCTGACGCCATGACAACCGACTTGCTGGGAAACAGCTTGGTGGCCATGAGGGGTTTCTCCACCATCTGGGGGTGGGGGTGGGTGTGCTGGTGGGTGAGGGTGAGGGGATGAGGGTGCATGTGGGGGTGAGGAGAGTGGGTGTTGGAGTATACTGACAGCTTCTCCTTGACGGGGAGGTAGCCATCCATGGGGCGGGGTGATTTGGGGGTTGGGTACTCCTGCAGGCCGCAACAGGGGGAGGGGTCGATGTCGCGACAGGCCGGGCACAAGATCATTTCACACCTAGGGCAGGAGGCCAGGCTGGAGGAGCCCAGGCCACAACCCTGACACTTCACCCCCAGAGAAGAGAGTCCGCCATGGGCTTTGAGTGCCCAGCCATCCCTGGCATCCCAGGGCTCCCTGGATGGAGGTCTGGAAGGCGTCTGTCGACCTCCAACCCCAGGCCCACCTCTCTCTGTGTACAGATCAATCTCATCCAATGACGAGAGGTGGTAGGAGGAGTAGGCATCAACCGAGGGCGGTGATTGGATAGGGAAGAAGTCAGCCAAGGGGCTGTAAGAAGGCGGGGCAGCCACAGAAAACATGGATGTGGAGGTGCTGGGCCTGATGATCTCATCCTTCATGTCCTCCTCTGCATCCACAAACAGAGGCTCCTTCCTCAGGCTCAGAGAGGCTTTCAGGACAGGCTTACTGGCTGTGTGCCAATGCCCAGCTCCATCCGTCACATCCACTGACTTGGACGGCCTTCCCCCTCTTCTCAGATGGTGAGGGTGACCTATGTCCACCGGTCGCACAGAGAGCCGGGCCATGTCGGCCCCGAGGCTGTCCCGCCGCCGGAGGACCTCGGCACAGCCGGCTGCGTCGTCCCGGCAGCCCCTCCGTTGCTCCAGGGCCTCCAGCTCAGAGGCCGAGCCCCGGGCCAGAGCCACCACCTCCCCCAGGAGACGACACTCAGCCTGGGCCAGGAAGAGCTCGAAGGCTAGCTGCTGGAGGTGGGCAGGCCCACCAGGGTGGTCACGGACGTGGAACTGGAGCTCGTGGTCGCGGGAGTAGCCCATGGAACGCAGGAGGGAGCGGAGATCGCCGTCGCACAACGCAGCTTGTAGGTGGTAGACGTACGGGCCCGTGAAGGTCTATTAGGGGGAGAGATACAAAGGAGGACAGAGTTATTAAGGAGTGTTCCTGCAAATTCATTGTAATGCATACAATACAATGTTTAACCTCAGGGACCATATTAATATACTACAACAATCCTGCCATCTACACAGTCTGATGACAGGAACAGGTCCAGTCCAATAGCTTTAGATAATGGTACATACCTTGATGCAGCGGAACTCTTTCTTCCAGGGGAAGAGCAGCAAGTTGGTGCAGACCGTCTCCAGGGTGTGGAAGGCTCTCTCCAGGCCACGCAGACTGCAGCCTCTCAGGCAGCGCATGGCATTCTCCACCACCTCATAGAAGCGCACCATGCGGAACCTCTGGCCCGGGTCTGGCTGGTAGGCCCCCAGCAGGGCCGTGGCCGTGGAGAGTAGGGCCTCGCTGCCCCCCTGCGAGGTGCCTCTCCCAGGACCCGCATTCCTCCCTCCGTCTTCCAGCCGCCTCTCCAGGCACGCCACGTACCTCCGGAACAGGTCCTCTTGCAGTTTAGCATCCATTGGCGGTGCAGCAGTGAACTGCTCAGCCGTGACACTCCTCCCTCACTCCCTCTATCATGCCAAGGACCGGGACGACACTCAGCAGCCCCTCTCTGCCGCCATCTCAGTACACACACAAATAGACTCCGCTGAGGATTTTAAGAAACACACAAGAACACGCCTCTGGCCTCAATCAAGAAGCCGTCACCATTCTTCAGACGAGAGGGGGTTGGTAGTAGTATTGAACTTAACTGCTTCCTGGTTTAGGCTAATTGGGGTGGCTAGGCTTTTGCCTGTAGGACCACCCTCTGCATTTGGGCATCTCTGGTTATTTTATTAGCTGGCAGTCCATGTGGGCTCTCCAGGGCAAATGTGCGGAATAAAATATGGCCAGAGGGGGCTGGTGGTTCACAGTTTGGTGGTCCTGAGTTGCGTCCGGAGGTCTAGCCTCTGCCCTGTCATTTAACCAAAAGTAGTGAGTTCAAGGTCACCAGGCAGAGAAGGGCACGATCACGATGATGCTGTGCATTTTTTTTTACAAACTCCAAGCTGCAATGACAAAGAGGGATATGCAGTAGGATATTGAACACACACATGCGCACACCACACACACGCTTCACTGTGCCAATAACGATGACGTATTGAGCTTGGGACACTTCCCCTCTTTATCTGCATTCATCCATCCAGCAAAGAGAATGCAATGCTGACATCATCGGGTGATTCAGAAGCAGCCAAATATGTTCCAAACATGCAAAATGGCCCATTGAAACAAATGGGTTGGAGAGCACAGGGAGGGTGTGCATCGATCTCAGTGTGTGTGTGTGTTTGTGTGAGCAATTGAGGGGAAGGGAATATGTATCCTAGTGAGTGACACACCCACTGTTACTAACACTAAATGTGCAGTGTGTAGCATGGATGGGAGCAAGGATATGTTTTTCCCCTCAGTGCACTAAATAGCTAGCTAACCATTTAGCCAAAAACTGCACTCGCATCCACCTCGCATGAATGATCAATGAAAAAAGTAACAGCTCAAAATGCAGATGGCTACATGGTAAGCTGATTAATGAATTATGATTATGAATATAGCTAGCTCTGAAGCTAGCTATTTTACCTGCCGAATTGTATTAATTTCAAAAGAGCAAAATTTCATTGACAATGTTTTACCATGCAGTCTGACCTAAAATTGAATTTTTATACACCTAAAATCTGCATTTCAGAGCAATATCCTTTTGACATTCACATTTGGGTTTCCGTCAGTGTAAGGTTCGGCTAATTATGGGGCTGCAAATAGGCTGTCCAGTAATCTAGGCAAATTCTAGGGCTATGAAGATCAGAGTATCTCAATATTTTTTCCATGCCAAAAATGAAAACACAAAGCAGACCAAACTCTTTGGTCCTGTAAAAAAAACCGCTGTATGTAAAATATTGTGTGCAATAGCTTGGAAAATAAATTAATGTGACTCTGGATGACAACATAATGATGTTTGTTTCCAACATTAGGGCCGTTTTCCTAAAGAAGTTAAAAACCGCTTTGTGTTTTGTTTCTTTCCCACGATACTAACTAGTATCACAATACGTTTATCATCCGGGCCCTTGCAAATCCTGCAATTCCCTTCACCCAGATCGCTCGAAAAAAAAATATCTACATGCAACAATTTCAAAATCGAAAGGCATAACTAAGCAACTGCTATATTTGAATGGAAAAGGGAATCAGCAAATCACTACTACTGCCCTGTTTCGTATTGGCAAATCACTGCTACTGTCCTTTTTCGTATTGGCCATCTACCGTAAACATTGTCCCACAAGCCTACTAAATGTTCTCATCTATCGACAGGTGTATACCCAATTTTGTTGTGGTTTGTCTTTTAGAAGAGTGCAAATTGTCCCAGTTCCATTGATTTCCATACAATCTTGACACGAGTGATTAGTCTGCGTGCGCTATTGATTATAGTACAACAAGCTAATCAATTTCAGTCTGGAGTACCGCTTGGTAAATGTTAATTAGCAGTTTAAAGTTACTAATTTGGCAAAATATAAGTTATCTGAACACAAGAGTGACACGTAGGAAGTATTTTTGTATTGGTCTTCAACATTTCACATTTCAGAATAACGATTATGAATTTGGACATTTAAAACCGTTGTTTCGACACTGCTATAAATTATATAAAAAATACATGACAACAGGAAGCAGCAACAGTATGATTTTCAACTTGTGTTTTAGGAATATAAAATGATACTTTAACATTTTTTCTACATGAAACCACTGAATAAACCCAAAAACGTGCTATGATTTATTGCTTGATGATATTAGTGAAAGCGTGAAATGTGTTTGACCTGGCTAAACTAACCATGCATGTACAACCATGTGTGGCTATTTGGCAATCTTGAAGGCAAGGGACCGGCTGCGCAAGGGACGAACTTCTAGTATTCCGCTTAGCAAGCTAGCTAACTAGTTATCATCTGAAAATACATAACCAGTTGGGTTAACTTGCTAACTATCTTAGCATGTGCTGTTCCCACCAGCTAATCACGATAAAAAAAATATATGTATTATATATCAAATTGAACAATAGCACCTGTCATCAACGTTAACCACAATGATCAGCTGGGTACGCAGTGAAAGTGGCGTGTACAAGTCTGAGCTAGCAAGCCGTGATACTAATTGACGTTAGCTAACTACTCTCTGGCTATAGCTAGTTGTGTGACAAATTGAACAATAACACACCACACAATGTTAACAATGATCAGCTGGGTACGCAATAAAATTGCCGTTTACAAGCCAGAGCTGGCAAGACGTGATGCTAATGGGCGTTAACCACAAAAGCTAACTAGCTAGTAACTGTGTGTCTGTTAGGTGGCATGGGCCCCCAGCCCAGCCGGACAGAGAACGCCCATCTCTGCGAAGCTAGCGTGCTCGCTTCCCATCGCACGAGAAGCTTGTATTTAATACAATCTCCACATATGTCCAGACAGTAGCGTCTAAGGCGAGCTGTGCACATTCATGTTTCAGGTTCTGCTATTGTAAAACCTGTTTTATCAGAGAGAGACGCCACGAACATTCAGCACCTTACCTTTTCCGTTCTACTGCTGGAAATCCCCATCACCTCACTGCGCAAGCGCGCGATTCGGACGGTTAGTCAGTATCAGCTGGCGCACGTACACTCGGGAGAGGGGCTTGGCCATGTTCAACAACTCGCCTGGAAATTCTATAATAGAAAAACTATTCACTCGGAATAAAGGATGTCCAAGCTTGGTTGCTGATTGACAGGCAGCTGTGGTAAGACTCGAGTTTAAAGTGGAGGGAGTACAGGGCTTAGCATGTCTCTCGAGGAGGCTAAAAATACGTTTCGGCTTGGAAAAGTTGAATATTTTCAGAAGGAGTCGGGTAATTGGATAAGGGAGGAGGATTGGAGGGAAACAGAGAGAATGTTGAAAAGACTGAGGGAGGCAGAGGATGGGTTCGAATCTGTTGAAACTAGCAATAACAAGGGAGGGGTTATATATATTCCCACGGGGGGCCAGTATGAAAAATAATGTATGCAGTCACTAACTGGATAAGAGCGTCTGCTAAATGATTAAAATGTAAATGTAATATAGAGGGAGATTGGTGTCAAGTTCAAACAGTGTGAGCCGGTTTGATGAGATAACTCGATCCGGTGGAATACGACCATACGAGCGCTTTTTTAAGGGAGCGCTCCGTAAACCACGCCCCAGTGGGCCGAGCTAGGCATGTTGGACTGGGAAACGTTTTAATACTGTCACGACCCTGGGTTTATAAACGCGGATATCGACTCTACCACCGGAGCATGCTTTTGGGGCACAGTCGACTTCGGGCTAGAAGGTTGAGAGTCGAGACCTGCTCCCTCACTGTTTCATTACAGTACGATTAAAAGCCTAATTTTACAGTGGGTCCGCCGTGGTTCTGTGTAGCCTAGTTATGGTAATATATTTGAGACCAGTGTATTGCAGTACATTTTGTCCTTGACTTAATAAAAATAAATTTCAGTAGTAAACAGGGTAACAACGAGTCCCAGACAGTTCGCAATAGAACATACCAGAGGGGGCATCGTTTACTAGGCTACCTAAATTATTGGGATCATCTGCTTACCACAACTCTTTGGAAAACATTGAGCTCGTTGACAAAACAGACCATGGAACGCCTTTTCACACGAAGGTCCGCAGTGGGTCTGTGTAAATTATGCGATTATATTGGAGACTGGTTTATAGAAATGAATGTCATCTATTAATTTACTCTTATAGTAGTTCTAAGTAGAAGCCATATCAGCCAGGGAAACTAATTGTTCTCGCTTTATGATAGAACATTAAGATGTCTGCCTGACCGTGGGACTCTTTACCTGAATTATTAGGATTTTCTTGTGATCACAACAAAACTACATATTTTGCTCAAATAGAGATATAATCAATATTTTTATTGATAAAATATTAAACAGACTGAACAGTCCTGTACCAATGAGATTAATTAGTTGTGTGTGGTGGTGTTGCCATTCAGCCTCATCTAGCATTGGTATGGAATAAATTATAACTGACAAAGTACCTCAGCCTTAGGAAATCATTGGGGAAAGAAGTCACATATCCAGTTTGAACTAATCTTTATTTGATTTGCTGTAATACAGAGATACAGTATAAAAGCACACATGCACTCTAACAATGTCTTCATTGTGTTTTAATTGAAAATGAAATCATAGTCTTCCTTTATTCACCATTTCATTAAGGAAAGGGCAATACCAGTATTAATTGCCAGCAGGCTCAGACAATATCCATAATGACTGAGAAAGTACTCACACTTCAAGACCCTATGGACAGATGGCTTTTAATAAAGTCATATGGTAAGTAATGAAATACAAGTTTCTGGGTGTGTGGGGAGAGGGTCAGTGACTTGAAGGGGATGAAGAACCAGTGGAGGCAACAACAGGCTGGTAGAAGGGGGCAAGGTGGGATTGGGTCAGGCACGTCCAGTCCAGGTGTCAGGCCAGGTTGTCCTCAGTCGCAGTCAAAGAGCC